CTGTTACGCATATATACACATTTTTTCACAACTGATCTAAAAGGAAACGATTAAGGATTTTGTATGTGTTTATTTGTAAAATATCTAATGATGTATGACGAAACTTTCAACTTTAGTCGTTGATCTAACTAAATTATTGACTAAAGGTATTTTTTCACCAGGACCATTTTGACTATTTGACTAAAGTAAAAGCCCTTGACGTAATTAAAAATACTTGGTACAAGCGGCAATAATGTTAATGATAAAATAGAATTATCAAAAGTTTAAAAATGTGTGTTCCAGGGATGAATAAAGAATTATTATATTATTGTATGTATACTGCAATGATGCAAGAAAAATAATTATCATGGAAGAATTAAGCTATTTGTTTTTCCGTATATTTATAAAAATGCCTCTTCTTTTTTACGAATTATAACTATTATTTTATTATTACATTTCATATAATCAAATCGTTTTTCATACATATGGGGTTGTGTTAAATTGATTTTTTTTTTTTGAATTGACTACATGTAATAGTAATACGCAATAGTATTAATAATGTGCTATAACGTCCCAGTTTGAAGCAACATAGGTTGATTAATATTGGTACTTATAATGACCTTTACATAACACATAAGACAGGTTTTGGTACATATTTTTATAAGTTTTAATTTTGTTTTCTAGTTTTTTATTACTAAAATTCTTTTATTGTTGAATCACGATAAATCGGTCATTAGAGTTTGGTGATGATAAAGTTGTTCTTTAAATAATGCAATTTTTGCTTTTCAATTTACATCATTATCAATTAGAGAAAAACTTAAGGCAATAAAATAAACCATAGAAAAAAAAAATTGTTTGTTATATGGGGGCGCTCTAGGAAAACCGGGTTTCGATATTTTTGGTCAAAAAAATTTTTTTGCATAATATTAAACTATAACATCATGGTTTACAAAAATAAATTCTTGGGGATAACCAAAATTTAAAAAGCAATGATCTACATACTGCACGATTCATAATTAATTTAATAAATTTAATAGTCACGGAGACCCCATAGAGTGTTATTAATTCATAATTTTTATTACGGTTGTCATTAGTATTAATTTACCATTTTGAGTATCTAATAAAGTATTTGATTGTTTAAAAATTATTATGTAAAGTTAATTAAAGTATATCTCTAAATTTTGGGTCTACATGCTGATGAATTTTGTTATACCAATAAAATTTTCTATCTTTTGTTAATGGAGCAACACCAAGTAGGGTTAATTGATCAAAATCATCATTTTTTAAAAGTTTAAAAGAAGTTTCTGTGCCACCTGATTTTTTGGAAACATAAACTTTTCCAATATCATTTGGTAAACTACTGATAATATTTTGTTATATTTGGAAGACTTCAGAAATGCCCTTCAAATAACAATGTAAAATTATACCAGCTCCAATTCAAGCCATTATTATATCTAACAGGCTTATTACATTCCGCTGAATCATTTATCACCTTTTCAACATCATCAACTATATTTATAATTCTATTTTTGTATTTACTTTTAATATATCCAAAATTTGCATCACAGATGAATTTTGTATGCTCAGGAATCATAAAATTAATGTAAATAAATCATCAATTAAATTTTAAAGATGAATACGTACTTCGTATATTAATATGTGTAACAAATTTAATTAGTTGTTTACACAAAAAAAAATTTTTTTATATTAATAAACCTGGTTTTCCTATATAGAGCGTTCCCCCATATATCCAATTTTCAATTGAATTTATTGCATTAATATTAATTGAATTATTACTAAAAAATGAATTGTCGATTAATTTAAAAAACAATCAAAGAAAATCATTAGAATCATTAGTAGCTCAAAAACCCTTATATTTGTTCCTAAACTTTTTTTCTCCAAAATTATTAGAAATCGTACAACCTTCAAATATTTGCCATCAGGTCCTGTAAATTACGCATCAGTGAATTACACCTATCACTTTGTTTTTTTGGTTTTTTTTGCCAATTACAAAGGAGAAAATTCAAATCAAAAACTTTTTAAAGAAAAATGCTCAACCAATAATTATAATGTATTAGGAAAAAGATAACGGAACTGAAAGACAAAAAACATATATGAATACCCTTGTATTTTTTGAGAGCAAAACAAAGGTTTTACTATCTGAAATTGGTCTGATATTTATAGTTGGTTTTATAATTGATCTTTTATGAAAATTTAATTAATTGCATCACTTATTGATAAAGAACGATTTTATTTTTAAATAGTTATTGAGCCCTTTTTGGTTTCTTGCTTTATTATAAAACAACTTCATAATATAAATCAAAAAATTGATGAATAATTGATAAAAATAACCAAGGAAAATAACGATTAAAAAAATACTTCTTTCGATATCAAACAATTGATATTAACACAAAATATGAAATTGACTTTTACTTAAACCTATAAGTACAAGCTGGGGGCTATTTGGCGACTTCAGTTCCATCTGAGAGGTTGTTTTCTTCAGCTAGAAATGCATTCACAAAAAAAAAATAAAAATGGTTTACAAAAATAAATTCTTGGGGATAACCAAAATTTAAAAAGCAATGATCTACATACTGCACGATTCATAATTAATTTAATAAATTTAATAGTCACGGAGACCCCATAGAGTGTTATTAATTCATAATTTTTATTACGGTTGTCATTAGTATTAATTTACCATTTTGAGTATCTAATAAAGTATTTGATTGTTTAAAAATTATTATGTAAAGTTAATTAAAGTATATCTCTAAATTTTGGGTCTACATGCTGATGAATTTTGTTATACCAATAAAATTTTCTATCTTTTGTTAATGGAGCAACACCAAGTAGGGTTAATTGATCAAAATCATCATTTTTTAAAAGTTTAAAAGAAGTTTCTGTGCCACCTGATTTTTTGGAAACATAAACTTTTCCAATATCATTTGGTAAACTACTGAAATGAAAATGATAATATTTTGTTATATTTGGAAGACTTCGGAAATGCCCTTCAAATAACAATGTAAAATCATACCAGCTCCAATTCAAGCCATTGCTATATCTAACAGGCTTATTACATTCTGCTGAATCATTTATCACCTTTCCAACATCATCAACTATATTTATAATTCTATTTTTGTATTTACTCTTAATATATCCAAAATTTGGATCATCACAGATGAATTTTGTATGCCCAGGAATCATAAAATTAATGTAAATAAATCATCAATTAAATTTTTAAAGATGAATACATACTTCGTATATTAATATTGCATGGAAATCGTAAAATAATTTCCAGGGGTAACAAAATTTAATTAATTGCTTACACAAAAAAAATAATTTTTTATATATTCGAAACCTGGTTTTCCTATTATTATGTTTATTTTTGTGTTGGTTATTACTGCTTCCTAAATTGACTAATGAGATAGCTATATCATTGAGAGGATTGTGTGTATTTTATATTATCATTGGATTAATTATTAATTGCAATAATTAGTAATATTTTATTTGGTTTGTTTATGATCTTACAACAGAATTGGATGATAATTATAATAATTCATCTATTACATCTCCTCCATCTGAAAGTTCTTAATTCATTTGATATTTCACATATAAATCCAAATAAATAATGATATATATAATGAATCAAGTTCTTCCATCAGTTCATCATCAAACAATGGAATTGAAAGTTATTGGTTTGAACCACTGGATGATGAAACTTTTAATGATACTAGTGATGAAAGTGATTTGGATGATGATCCAGAAGAATTAAAAATTCTATTAAGACATAGGGTGTATCCAGCTGATAATAAAGAGGCCAAATAGAAATTAGCAAGATTGATTGAAAAATTATTGTATTTAATCACATGATTTAATTTTGACGGCATGTATAGATTGAATGATTCCAGATAGAACTGCTCAAAAATTGAATTTTATTTTTATCTTTCTTTCCTCTATACTCAAAGTCTAACCGATGAGTTGGTTGGTTCTTTTGTTATTTTTAACGCTGTCACAGGATCATGATACAATTATTTTCCTTTTGAATTTTTTTTTTAGAAAAAAAATTACTTTTTATCTTCTCGCCCTTTATTCATCATCACTTTATTGGTTAACAATAATATATATAATAAAAGGTGTGAAAAAAATTCTTAATTGGTGACACATCTAAGTCTTATTATCAACAAAAAATATTAACACACCTGTAGATAAAGAAAGACCTACAAGAAAACTTAGTCCTAAGTATATTAGTCCATATAAGATAATAGCAGAAGTATCAAAAACAGCATATAAATTAGAAATTACCAGCAAATTTAAAAATTCATCCAGTGTTTCCTTAAACCATATAAAGAATCTGATGATGTATGCTTTTCTGTAACATTCAATTCTTTAAATCAAAAAAAATATTTGACATAAATATTACTTGCATCATGAGCATTGAGCCCTATCCTGGATACGATGGTGAGTATTGGACAGCAATTTAAAAGAAAAAAAAAATAAGCTCTTTTTTTCTAACTGTCATATTATTCCAGCTTTAAACTCATACTTGAAGGAGAATACAGTATAGTCCATACTGAGTTTTTAATCTTCACAAAGACATTATCATTTCCTCGCCCCCTTTTTTAGACAATTGGAGTTTTCTTGACCTCACTTGATCTCGTAGGTTTTTGTAGGAAGCAAAAGAACTGAATTCCAACAATTTAATAGCTTTAGAAGAAAAGGTGATGTACTTATATATTTATTTGTAATAGGGGGCTCCAGTCTATTCTTGTCTGGACTAGGAGTATCAGCTCTTATCATGGCCTCACCATTGCGATTTACTTTTTTTTTTTTTAATGGTTAAACCTTTTACTTGTATTATAAAAACTTGACACTAATTTTTCTTCATATATCTATGGTAAAAAAACAACACGGAAACAAAAATTTACAGCCTTATTGGGAAGAAATAATTTATGAGCGGAGAAAGGTTTTATTATCATTTATTGTCATACAAATAATAATGGATCTCTTCATCATTGATTTCAAACATGAACGACACTGATCTTGTACAGATGGCAGTAAAACGAGTACATCTCATTGGTAGTACTAATCTATATCGTGAAGCTGCAGAGAACAATGCCCAAGAAATTATATCTGAAGGCTTTTCCAATGTTTTTGTCAAGCATCCTCTTGAGAATGATTCTATAAATAAACTCAAAAGAAAATCTCAAAAACAAGCCCACCTGCTAAGAAAACACACATCCTGGAATGGAAGTTTTTGAATGATGAAAAAGCCATCGCTGATGTATGTGGCTGCAAGCTTTCTAACTCCATATCTGATTATTTAAACTGCCAAAAATAACTAGAATTTATGTATACTGTACAGGAATGGATTATTGAAAATCACAGTATAACAAAATCGTTTTTAGACTTTATGAATATGGCCATCTCTTTGGCTAATGAAGGTAAATAGCATATGCTGCTCACCCATCAGGAATATTGTTAATTATTTTTTTAACTTTCTTTTGATGTAGACACTTCACAGAGATAGTCAAATATAAGATCACTAAATTCAATTTTTTATGGAAGAGAATCCCATATGAACAAGACTTGATATCCCGCCATCCATTAGAAAGCAAGCTTTTGGCCAGATGAAAATTTTATATCAAAAAAATAATCTAAATAAAATTATTAAAGGCTTCAGAGAAAATGATAAAGACACTCAATAGAACAGTCATATTATAAACTTAAAGTGAAATCAGATGATCCTGGTAAAAAATTGTTAAGAAAATGCCAGAATGTGTGGAAACATCTGTAGGTTAATTTCTTCACTTGTATTTGTTGTTAGTGATCTAAGCAATTCCCAAATTTAAATATATTAAAACTCAATAGTTGTGAGAATTGGAAGACTTCATTTGATGACAATCGAACAGTAGAAGATACTTGTGTTCATGAATTATTGCATCCATTTTTAAAGCCATTCTTCACTATTGAGCAAGGACATGATATTAACTGGTAAAAATATTAATGGTCAATTTATGTTGTGTTGGACATTTAAAATTCATTATTTTAATGACACCTGTTTATTTTACTACAGGGCTAACAAAGATGTCCATGTCAAGTGCTGAACGAAAATGTAATGAAGAAGGTGATGGTCATAAGCTTGATTTCATGATCTCTGTAGACATAAATGGTGACGCTGATAAATTTGAAACATTATATGGATTATTTAAGTCTCCAATAAAGCTAATACCTATTTAGTGAATGTAGATTTAATGAAAGATTCCCTTAATAAACTATATACTAAATATATTACTGAACTTGACATGGCAGTTTTAGTATACATTGTTTTGGTATGGTATTTTTAACCTTAACATTCTTTTTTTTTATGGATGTGTTTATCTGATATTTCTGAAATTTTTTTACTGGCAGGCCACAATTTAAGGATATACGGAATGGATTTAACTTATGATGGTTTTTACAGAATGTACATGTCAGGTGAATTTGAGTTGCCAAGATCCAATATTAGTTGTTCATTAGTTGAATATGCATTGTGTGAAATTGAAAATCTAAGGATAGATATTATTATGTCAAAATGGCTTTTTTAAAGTAAATATTAATTAACAATTACAGTTATTTGTTGAAGAGCATATAAGCAGAATACTGCCTTATTTATCAACAACTGATAATTATCATACATCAACAAAGAAACAATGCATGACTCGATCAACTATTCCTACACCAAAAAAGAAGATTTTTTTCCATTTCAGTAATACCACAAGTACTTTTATAAGACTTCTAAATTTTTTGTAATTACCAGGTTATGTTACAATAATTATTGGAATTATGGAATTATATACAAAAATCAAGATGTTATTTATATACAATATATGTATATTTAAATAATTTGCTTTTCTCCAAGATAATGTGATTTTATCATTAATAGAATAAAAAAACAGCATTTATGCTTTAATTTGAGGCATCTGAAAATTTTTGACAATTGAATTTTATTTAACTAAGGTAGACAGATGTGTATGTGGATATATGTATATTATATTGATATAGTTGTATTTATTGTATTAATTTTGTTGCTGTTGTTACTACTATAGACGTCCAAATATTCTTTGTTTATATAGACGTTTCTGTCAAGAAAACCATGTATTTCTGATTCTTGAATATGGAGCTATGGAGAAATTTATAAACATCTTAGAAAGTGTACCAGATTTACCAAAAAGTATGTGTCAAGGGTTTGTAATTCCTCCTATTACTGTATTAGTTGTGAACAAAAGATACTAATTCAATCAGTCAATATGTTATTGTGAATTAGTAATATATCACTCAGGTGGCACATGCTTTAATTTATCTTCACCATAAAAAAATAATCCGTCGAGATATTAAGCCTGAAAATCTTTTATTGGGTCTAAACAATGATCTTAAAATAGCTGACTTTGGTTGGTCAGTACATACTCCTGGTCAAAGGTAGAAGATGGATTTAATTATAATTATTGTTATAAAAATGTCTAATTATTTATTGTCAATTATAATAATATATCTATCACTATAAAAAAATATATAATAAGGCATAGAACACTTTGTGGCTTGTTGTTGTATTATCTTCACCAGAGATGGTTGATAGTCTAATTCATGGTTCAAGGGCTGACTTGTGGAATCTCGGAGTTTTATGTTATGAACTGTTGTTTGGTACAGTTCCATTTTCAGGACCAGGTGGTTGCAAAGGTACACACAAAAGAATAGTGAGAGTGGAATATTCAATGCATGATCATATATCAGAAGATGCCAAACATTTTATTAAATTGGTAACTTCTATCTTTACTGCCATACTAATTATTTTCAATATTTACAAAATAAATCATCTCCTCTCTAAATATTTTTATTACCTCTAAAGAAAAAAATAGCTACTTCAAAAAATCCTGATCAACGATTATCCTTGGAAGAAGTTTTGAAACATCCTTGGATTTTAAAGCAATTAATAATTATAATAATTATAACTATACCTATATTATTAATATTAGAAGGAAAGAAAGTAGAAACAGAAAATAAAGAAAAAAACTTCATCAGATTTCTGTTCATAATAAATCTTCATAAAAAAAGATTCTTCTTTCAGTGCTTTATTTTCATTCTTCTGAGAAGAAAAGTAAAGCAATAATCCTCAATAATTGTGCATTAAATATAATCATCATTTGAAGTATATAATTTTTTTAAAAAAAAGAATAAATTATTAAATTTTATTTTTATTTCAATATTTAATTAAACCAATCCGATTGCAAACTATATATAAATAAAATCTTTAAGGAATTATTAATGTTATTATAATCCTTTCAATTTTTTAAAAAATCTTTCGTCATTTGGTCAAATTATATTTCAATAAAAATAAAATTAAATATTATTCCAAAAGTATTAATTCTAAATTGAAAATTTTTTTTTATATTTGTGGGTTGGTGTTACGTCAGAATCAGCATGCAAAAGATACTCCAATTTTCTAGTAATAGTGAAAAATTTTACACTCCATATCTTTTTCTCAACGGATTCCAGATAGTATATGCTCTAATAATGCTAAAAAATGAACAACGCAGTGATTGATCGTAAAATTATCAAAAATCTGTCCTTATTATTTAACAGCACGTTTTCTCTTTTACCTCAACTAAAGAACATCTATATAATAATGGTAAATAATAGATCGTTACAATAGATATGATGATTTTATGATAACTACTTCTGTCCTCTAAAAATATATCCTTGCATAAACTTGAAATTCGTTCTAAATTTCTTTCCTTCCGATATAAATTATTTTTAAATTGCGTAATGATCTTCAAGCCAATAATATTATGATTTCTAATTCGTAACCACGTGATTCAAGCGATGACGTAACGTGATTTTTAACAAATTTTTTTTTTATTGGTATTTCATAGTTTCTATAACAGTAAATTTTATATTAATATTGATTTTCATTATTGAGCTTTATATATTTATCCCATGAATTCAGTCCATCAATATTTAAAGTATTATCATCTAGTTCATTTAAATCTTTTTTGGCTATAAAATGTCAGAATTTACATTAATTATTTTTTATCTACGAGTTGCCACAAGCTTCAATATCACATGCTTGTTTCTTTTGTCTTTATTTATAATATTCAGTGTAGAGACTTTTTTTAATTCAGGGTTATCATTAATAGTAGTCGTAGTTTCATTAATGGGTTGAAATGTACTTCTAGTTACAGGACGTTTTGTAGTGACATTCCTAACTGCTGTACTTTTACGAGGCATATTTGATAAAGATAAAGAAAATAAATATATAATGATACTTTGAATTTGTTTATTTGTTTATTATAAATCAAAGATCTTACTTTAATATTAATAAACTATAATGCAAAGTTTATAAGTTTTTTAATTTTCTATGTCCTACAAAAATTTAGCTTTTTTAATTTAATAATAAATGCGTAAAATAATTTAATAATAACATTTACAATTTACTAGTGATTCTTTTTAAAATAAAAACTTTTTTTTTCATAAAACATGTTTCTAAAACAGACTAGAACTGACAAACAACAACAAGTATCTGATTTCCGTTTGCGTAAACCCAAATGCATACGAGTAAAAGATCTAAGTGATGCGACCTCTTCATCTGCAAATACCAATATTGGTTCTTCGTTGCCTAGTTTAGCATCAAGTTCTTTAACTATACAAGAGCAAGCTCAAGATATATATGAAGAAAATGAGATCCTGTCACTACAATCGGAACTAAGTGAGGACTTTCCTATAAACGGTGGAAATGATTTTTATGACAATATTTCTAGTGAAAATCAAAATACAAATAGAACAAATCAAGAGTTTGATGAGCAAGTGTATGATGGAAATGAGAAGCAAAATTACTACTCTGGAGATACAGGGCCATATTTTCCAAACTTTACTATATTTTTGTTATTTTTATGGGTTACAAAACATCAAATAGGTATATGACTAATTTTACACTGCTTGGAAGCAAATTACATAATTTATTTAATTTATTTTTAAATCAGGTTTAGAAGCATACAAAGATTTTGCAAATATTTGTCAAACATCATAAATTCAATTCATGTGATGTTCCGTTCTCACTTACAACCATTAAGAAGTACCATAATGGTCTACCACTCCTTCCATTTAAAGGCCACGCTGTTACCCTCAACAATCGCAACATGCCATCCACTTTTAAATCCGTTGGTCAAACTTTAATTTTTCCTTTAAAAAACATTCTTCATTGTGTACTATCAAATCCACAGTTGTGTAAGAACATGTATTTTGGCCCAGGTATACACAGTGAAAACGGGCATGAATTATGGCATGGAGACCTTTGGCAAAAATCACCATTATTTGGTGGGAAAAATATCAAATTAAATCATGGTAAATATATTTAGTCAAAATAAAATTTACCAATTAATTCTTTATTTATTTTATAATTATTATTAATATGAATATGAATATGAATATAGTGGTTTACAGTCTTGGTGATTTCATCATGTATTATGACACACATGCAAACAACAAAACATACTATAGTAGAATCATATTGATACCACACATTGATGATTCCCAAGATATTTATATTAAAATTGAGTGTATTCTTGAATTTAATTCATTACCTTCAGTGCTAAAATCCAAGCAGAGAAAAGTTGCTTCTTGTAATGGACATCTGTGGATGACAGATAAAACATTAATTATTAACTCTATAAATATTAAGTCTAAAGTATATATGGTTAATGGATATTAGCAAACCCACAAACTATCAATATTCTATTGATGAAATTGTATATAAAATAAATGGGCAATGGACTAAAAGACCAATTGATTTATGACATCATCATCCTATTGAGTATGTCACCATTCAAGATCCTCCACATGGTCTGCCAGTACTTAAATTTTTTCTAGACATTTATATTGACAAGTTTGGTCCATTTCGTAATGCATATCATGCCATTGGTGGCATTTATTTACAGATTGGCAATATGAAACAAGTTCTTCATCAAAAGCTCAAAAACCATTTTCTTCTTGGGTTTATTCCTTTCACAGCCACAAGTGATAAAGTACTTCAACCCCTTATTGATGATATTCAAGAACTTGAACATGGGTATAAACTGAAAATTAATAATCAACATGTATGGGTTACAGGTGGATTGGGAGTATTACTAGTGATTTACAAGAAGGTAATGAACAGGCAGGAATAAAAAACCACAATGCACATTATGGATGCCATAACTGTATGATTCACCATAATAATTTACATGATATTACTTTTGACATTTCAAAACATGGGCGGTACCATCATAAGACTACATTGCAGTTTGCTGCTATGAATGATGCTCAGACTCAAATTGAACAGGATTTCCTTGCAACAGAATATGGTATCTGAGAGAAACCTCCTATCTTTGATAAAATTATACATGATCGTCATATTCAATGCCCACATGATGCATTTCATTGTATGGGTGGTCTAGCTAAAGAAATGCTTCAAAAAACTTTTGGAATATTATCTACAACAGGGGAAGATGAATTTTTGAAAATTTGGCACAACTTTGAATTTCCTTCAACTTGGGCCCGTCAACAAAATCCAATTACCCATTTAGGTTCATACTTCTTTTCTGATTATCTTCATCTAAGTATGATAATGCCATTTCTTATTAATCGAGCAATATCTACTACCATGTTAAATAAGGCATTCATTGAACATTTGATCACATCATGTGCCACTACAAAAAAACATACAGTAGATCAATTGTTAAGTTTATGTGTATCTTTTTCTAAAATGGCATTTCTAGTATTTCGCAAAGAACTTTCTGAGACTGATTATAATAATCTGCAACAAAGTATAATGGCATGGGCTGTACAGGTTACAAAAGTAAGTCACATGCACAAAAAACTACATAATCAATAGCAAAATAGGATTTTACTGAACACATGATAATGACTAAGTTTGCATGTAATGTTTTTTATTTCTACTAATGTGTCTTTTTTTGTGAATTTAGATTTTTCCTAGTGTTTACTTGACTACCAAATTTTCATATTCTACACCATTTTATTATGCATGTAAATAACTTCGCAACTTTAGTAAATACTGCAGTTTCTACAAAAGAAATGATTCATAGATTATACAAGGTAAAGACTAGTGCCGTAAATTATGATGATGGTAGTAATTGTATTTACGGCATATAAAAAGTGGTTGCAATTACCTT